CCCCCCGCCTCGCTGGCCCGCCCCGCCCCGCTCAGCCCGCTCTCCGCAGCCCCCGCCGCCTCGTCTTCGCACTCCAGGTGCTCCACGATGGCGATCGAATCCTCGTCCCCCTCCGCACGCCCTCGCCCTCGCGGCCCGCGGCGCGGGAGGCTGCTCGCCGCCTTGCTCCGGAGCCTGGCTCCCACCGTCATGATTGCCGCGGAGGTCCGAGCGCGAGGACGCCAACCTTTGCTCCCTGCCGGTCCTCCACCCTGGCCGCCCGCCCCAGACCCAGCCCCAGTTCCAGCCCCAGCCCCAGCTCCAGCCCAGCCGGGACGGGGCGGGGAAGTTTGGGGTCGTAGCGCCCCCTGGCCGTAGGGTCCGGGATCGCTGCGGCTATGCACCTGGGACTGGAACTGGCCTCCCAAGTCCGGAGCGCGCTCCCTTCCCACCTGTTGGCCAAAGGGGTACAGAATCCACCAAAAAGCTCAGTGAGAGCGAACAAAGCATGCCCAGCTGCACTTGCAAGGAAATGAATGAAACCCAAATAACAGGACTCCATTTGCCCACGTTCAAATTGGCGGAGAGAATAATGAATAGATTACACTCCGAGCCGGTGATCCTGTGGCGAGATGGTCATTTGCAAAGGAGTGCAAATGAGAGACAAGCTTTCGAGAAGGCACTCTGAAAATATTTACCAAGAGTCCTAAAAAAACCCTCCATATCCATCTAGATGCCTTTGTTAAGGGAATATTCAGAAACCGAAAGCAGAGTGGCGGCAGTGCCCACAGGCTGACTTGTATTGCAAGAGGGCAGCCAACCCAAGGGGGCGAAGGCCACGTTCTGGCGCACACATGTAGTGGCATGTGACGCAGTCATTGAGATGACAGTTTCAAGGACACCGCTCTGGTAGACGTGCCTTCTCATATGTCTGCCATGTGTTTCCACCCCTTTAGAACACTTCATGTGCGTAATGCCTCTGCATTCTGCAGAACTTACAGAATCAAATATTCAAAAATATGGATCAGTAGTGGTATTATTTTAACATTAAATGTGATACACTTAAAAATAATTTGCATATATCGGTATAGCAAATGTTTGTGAGCATTTAACATATTAGCATATACAAATTAATTTTGCTATTTCAACTTAAATGTGTAATTGAGTACTTAATTTTGACTTATGGTTTTTCATACAATAAATTATTTAGCTTATATTTAATATAAACATGTAAAATCTTATAAAATAAAAATAACATATACAACTCAATTTACTTTGAATTGGGTCCCAGATTAAATCTCTATACCTAGTAAACAAGCAGGTCTCTAGAAAATGCGATTGGAAACATCTCTATGTCGCTTTTTATTGTGTCTTTAGAAGTGGGAGATGTGTTTCCCTTGTGCCTTGGTTAAAACTTCAGTAGTCCTATCATTTTTCTGATCACAATGAGGTAATAAAAAGACCCAAAGTCATATCAAGATATATAATATTAAGTCTTTTAAATTGCCAGAGAGTACATATACTCACCAGGGAGAAGTAGAAAAACAGAGAGAAGGAGAGGAAGAAGGCACCCCCAATAAGGTGTGGTCATGCCACAATCTCTTCTCCATTTCTCCATCCTGTCGGGATTTGGGGTATGCACACCCAGGAGCCTGGTGTGTTTTTTGAGCTATGAGGGCTGGGATTCAAACAATGTGGTCAGCCATGTTGGATACAGCTCCCTTAGCCACCAAGGCATACTCACAAACCTCATTGTATTTAATTCCATGTAATACTAAGAACCTTGAACTTGACTTAGTGATCCTCTCTCCTTGCTTGGTCAGCTCCTGATGTGGCTGTGTGCATGTGTGTGTGTGTGCATGTGTGCTGGGGTAGGGCGAAGGAGGAGAGCAATGAGTTTCTCTTCAGATTCTCCCCACTTAATGTTTCCTTAGAAAACTGGTTTCTGACCCTTCCAGGGCCACAACAGAGAAGAGAGCAAAATGCTTCATCTTTTCACTGCATTGCCCCAGATTTTGTCCCATCCTGAGGGGCTGCAGGTGTTTGAAGCTGGTGCTTTTCTTGGTGCTTTAGAAGCCGTCACTCGGAACACTCCATTCTATTAGTCAGTTCCCAGCAAATGCCTTCTAATCCTCAAGTCCTGTGCCCTCCTGTCATCGGAGTCCTGTGGCTTTTCACTGGTTTTCTTGCCTCAGTGCTGATGGCCTCCCCCCACCCCAAATTCATATGCTGAAATATGAGCCCCTGAGTGATTGTATTAGGAGGTGGTGTCTTGGGAGGCACATAAATCATGAGGGCAGAGCCCTCATAAATGGGATTAGTGTCCTTATAAAAATAGGTTCACAAGAGATCCTCACCAGTTCTTTTTACCAAGATACTGCTAGAATATGCCAGCACCTACATATTGGCCTTCCCAGTATCCAGAACTATGAGGAACAAAAACTTCTGTTACGTATAAGCCACCAAGTTTATGGTGTTTGGTGATAGCGGCTCAAATGGACTGAGACAACCACCAGTTTTCCTATGCTGAGCCTGTGAGCCCTTCTAGATGGCCATGTGGGAACAGGACATGATGCAGGGAATTTAATGTTTCCAAATCACCAAAGACAAGGGCAGGCTGCCTCCAGAGCTGCAGCCATGACACCACCTAGCCGCCACCTAGGAGTCCTCCCAAGCCCCACACTAGTTATAGCTACAGCTCTGTTGTGTGCTAGTCTGCCAGAGCTGCCATAAGTAAATACTACAGACTGGGGAGTTTAAACAACAGAAATTTGTTTTCTTACAGTTCTGGAGGCTGAAAGGTAGAGACCAGGGTGCTGGCAGGATTGGTTCCTCCAAAGGCCTCTCTCCTTGGCTAGCAGGTAGCCATCTTTTCTCTGTGTTCTCACATGGCTTTTCTTCTGTGCGTATCTCTGGTAGCTCTTCTTCTTCTTGAAAGGACACTAATTTTATTGGATGAGGGCCCACTCTTACAACTTCAAATAACCATAATTGCCTCTTTAAAGGACCTTATCTCCAAACACAGTCACCTTCTAAGGTACTGATGACCAGCTCCAGGTGCAGGGATAATGTGCTGACA